TTCTTCTATATCTGAGTATTCTTCTTCAATTGGTTCAAGACCAAATGATTCTGCAACCTGGAGAAATTTTACTTTCTCAGATTTTTGTCTATTTGGACACTCATTTGCATAGTGTCCTTCTATGTTACAGATCCAGCATCTGCAATTCTTTTTCCCTTTTGGACAAAAGTTTTTATTGGGTTGAAATTTTTGTTTCTTTCTGAAATATTTACCAGGTTTAAAAGTTTTTCTCTTCTTTCTTTTCTGGTACTTATACTTTCTAGAGTAATTTTTCTTAGATTTTCTTTTATATGGTTTGCAACCATATTCTGTAGGTTTCTCAGAAATTTTAGAACAACAGTTTCTGTTAAATTTTTTCATTTGTTTTTGCTTTGTAGTAGCATTACAAATTTTTTCAATTTCTTCTCTTACGAGTCTTTTGGCATAACCGAAACTATATTTCATAAGCTTTTCAGCTGCTTCATATTTTTTTGAAGCATCATTTCCTACAATAGGAATTTTTGCTAAATACATTTTAATGTATTCAGGATGTTCTCCAAAATCTATTTTGAAAAGATTCTTTTCGAAATCACAATTGAATTCCTCAATGTAACAAATATCGCAAAGAGTCAGATTATTTAATCTTACCTTAGCTTTAGATTGCTCTATAAGTTTTTCATTTTCTGCATTTGATACTCGATCAATGCCCAAAAATAAAGTATAAAGACTGTTCAGAATGCTTTCAAGCATAACTGCAGGGTTTACATTTTGAGTATCCCATTGAACTCTTTTTATAAAATTTTGTGCATTTCCAAGCATTCTATGCTCAGCAAGTGCTAACACAAGTTGTGCTGTATTGAAAGTACTTGGATTGAGATTAATCACAAGACTCATTTCTAGTCCCCATTTATCAAATAATTTTTTAATTGTTTCAGGTTTTTTACAATCTAAGTCTAAGATTGAAGCTGTCTGAACTTCTCCGGCAATACCAGGGATACCGGCATTATTGTTAGAAGATCTAGGTGGTCTAGGAGTTACTGATGGTTTTCTTTCGAATTCTTCAGTATTCATTTCTTCATCATCTTTTGTTCCAGATGATTCTGGTTTTTCCATTCTAAAATTTTCTTTTAGAAGTTCTTCTTCCTCTTTGAAATTTATTTCTGATTCTGACTGAGTGTCAGTTTCAGTTTCGTCAATTTGATAAAATTGTTCATGTTCTTCAAGTTTTAACAACTTTTTCATTTTAGGGTTTGATTCCAAATCTGAATTACATTGTTCTTCATTCATTTCTAAAAAACGAATTGTATGTTCAAGCTGAATAGCTTGTTTATCATCCAAATCTAAATTAATTAGATTCCAAAGATTTTTCTCAAGTTTTTCTTGAAGATTCATTTTTTCAAAGCATCTTTTGGCCATTTAAAAGCGTTAGGATTTCCTGAACTTCCTAATTCTTCATTTCCTACTGAATCATTAGGATATGAATATTTTAGAAAAGGTATTTTATTTTCTTGGCTAGAAATTTCTTTCTGCCTTTTATTTTCTTTTTTACAAGGACATTCCGCAATTTCTTGCTTAATATCATTGATTATTTTAGCTGCTATAGGTTCTAAATCTTGTTTAGAATCTTTAGACTGTTGTTGAACAGATTTAAATAACTCTTCCATCTGTTTTTTCAAGATTTCCATATCCCATTTTATATCTGTAAGATTATAATTCATTTTATATCCTTATTAACACTTAAAAACAAATAAGGGTATAATAGTCAATTTGCAATCTTCTTTTGTCAAAATTTTTGACTTACTATTTGATTGTAAGGGGGATGTAAACTAGGTTGTTCTTTTAGAATTTTCCTAAAAAATAAGAAAAGAAATATGGGCCCACGGGCGTGTGTAACACACGTGGGCCGCATATAGTCTATAAAAGCCTGAGCGGCTTAACCTACTGTATCATTGAATCAGTCGTAGTTACCCCGGACATCACCGCCGACCGATCAAGCGAGCTTTTCTTCAGCCAGGTAAGGGCCTATTTCTTCAACGAACATGAATTTAAATTTAGGGTTTGTTGGGCTCGGGGTCGGAGGAAGGGTTGAGGCGGTTGTCGGGTTGTCGGTAGCGGAGGCGCCGTAGTTCGCGGGGAGAAATCCACCGTCGATTAAGGTACAGATGGCGGACCAGAAATTAGATATAACGACATGCCGTAGACCATCCCGTGGTTGATATCCCTGCAAATTCGGCATCCTTGTCCGCCCTTGGTCTCGCTATTTATTTCAAATTCTAATTCTAACTAAATTACTCAGAGTCGTCGTAAGTGTTCGTTCATGGTTCTTAGAGGTGGTGTAATCACTTAGTGTTGAACTCGAAACCATATTCATCGGTACCTGTGGACAAAAGGGCTGTTTTTATGGCCGCAGGCCAACAGTCGGGGTGGAAAGATTTCATATAGGCAGCAGCCCCTGCATTGTGTTACATTGACGTGCCAGATAAAACGTTTCAATTTGGAGTACAGTTTGTCACCTTGCTTTCCGGTTATAGTCCTCAAAGCCACTAGGATGTCGATCTCTGGGGCGGTGGTATCAGCCTGTTCATCGTGTTTCAAAATCAGAACAAAAGTGATAGGGTGTATAATTTTAGACTAGTATGCTACTGATGATAATTGGCCTAGCAATTTTTCGCTCTAAGAGAATTTTGCAGTCAAAAGGGTCGTAAATTGTAATGGATACCTTGAGAAGGTGTTGGGATCCAGGATTTGGACCTCTTGAGGAAAATGAAGCCACAACAGGGCCGTAGATTTTGTCCTTCCTCCGTTTTGCATATGACCATAGATGGGTTTCTGTAGTTATCATTAGTGTTTAAGATTGAAGAGTAAATTCTTTTTGCGTGTTTTTCTTTGGAAGGTGATTCGGGGTGGAGGGAGTGGATGGATGGATTGATGGGTGTTCTTTAATAGAGAGGAGAGGAGGAGATGAAGTCCTTGTATTTGTGTTGGATTCGAGTGGTTGGTTGGGACTATAATGGCTACTGTAATTTTGATTGAAAAATGGTGTATATTTTGATTATGAAAATTTTCAATCCGAAATGAATATATACACTAAAGTTTTTATATACTGTTCCACTTCTTTCGCTGCTGCTTGTTGAAACAAACTAATTAATGAATCCATATATACTGGCAAATCTGCTTGCCCAGTTTTGTTAAATCGTATCTGTGTTCTAATGGATATGTTCTTGTTTTCTATTTTCACTTGTTGTCATTATAATGCTATGTTTATCCACAGTGACGGAAAAAAAGGAGCAAACATGGTTCACTACAATTTCAAGGGAATCACTGTGGTCCCCACCGGAACCGAGTTAATCGACATCATCCTCTCACGCACCCAGCGCCGAACTCCGACACAGGTCCACAAAGGTTACGCCATCTCCCGCCTCCAAGAGTTCTACAAGCGCAAGGTCAAATTTGCTCAGCAGAACTTTCACGACAAGCTGTCCACCATCATCGACGACTTCCCGAGGCTCGACAGCATCCACCCTTTCTATGCCGACCTCCTTCACGTCCTCTACAACAAGGATCACTACAAGCTTGCGCTCGGCCAAGTCAACACTGCAAGGAAACTTATCGAAAATATTGCAAAGGACTACGTGAGGTTGCTTAAGTACGGAGGTTCCCTCTACCGTTGCAAGTCTCTTAAAGTCGCGGCACTTGGTCGCATGTGCACCGTGATCAAACGGGTCGGCCCGAGCTTGGCTTACCTGGAGCAGATAAGGCAGCACTTGGCAAGACTTCCCTCAATCGACCCAAATACCCGTACAGTCTTGATTTGCGGCTACCCGAACGTCGGCAAGAGCTCGTTCATGAACAAGATCACAAGGGCCGATGTGGACGTGCAGTCATATGCTTTCACTACAAAGTCCTTGTTCGTAGGCCACACTGAATATAAGTACCTCAGGTATCAAGTGATTGACACCCCTGGTATTCTTGACAGGCCTTTCGAGGATCGCAATATCATCGAGATGTGCAGCATCACGGCCCTTGCCCACCTGAGGGCTGCCGTCTTGTTTTTCCTCGACATCTCGGGCTCGTGCGGGTACAGTATAGCCCAGCAGGCAGCTCTTTTCCACAGCATAAAGTCGCTGTTTGTGGGGAAGCCGCTTATAATCGTTTGCAACAAAACTGACCTGCAGTCGCTGGAAGGGATCTCAGAGGCCGACATGGAGCTGGTCATGGATATGAAGGCTGAGGCCATGAAGACTCTTGTGGGCCAAGTAGGCGAAGCCACGAACGTGCTGTTGACCATGAGCACGTTGACCGAGGATGGTGTGATCTCCGTAAAAAATGCTGCTTGCGAGATGTTACTAAATCAGAGGGTGGGATTGAAAATGAAGTCAAAAAAGGTGATGGACTGTAGGAACCGTATCCACGTGGCCATCCCCAAGCTGCGGGATGGGAAGGAAAGGCCGCCCTGCATACCTTCAGCCGTCCTGGAAGCTCGGGAGGAGAATGACGAGAAGGAAAAGAGGAAGCTGGAGAAGGATTTGGAAAATGAAAACGGAGGGGCGGGTGTGTACTCGGCAAGCCTGACCAAGAACTACATGCTGACGAGCGAAGAGTGGAAATCGGACCCCATTCCTGAAATCCTCGACGGGCACAACGTGTCCGATTTTTTAGATGCCGATGTTCTGATGAGGCTGGAGGAGCTAGAGAGAGAGGAGGACGGGTGTTTGGAGGAGGAAAACGATTTCGAGATGGATGGGGCCGAGCTGACCTCCGAAGAACAGGCGGCCCTTGCTGAGATAAGGAAAAAGAAGGGGCTGCTTGTCCGGGAGCACAGAATGAAGAAGAGCGCAGCCGAAAGCCGTCCGGTTGTGCCTAGAAAATTCAATAAGGATCGAGAATTTACTACAGAGAGGATGGAGAGACGGCTACATTCCCTCGGGCTGGACCCTACTATGGCAGTCGAGAGAGTGAGGAGCAAGTCGAGGGGCCGCAAGAGGGATAGGTCAGGCATTAGGGATGATGAAGGTGATTTGATGGATGTGGAAGAGTCGAACAAGAAGATGAGGCTGAGGTCGAGGTCGAGGTCCAAGTCGAGGGCTCCGGGCGAGGTTCTGCCGGGAGAGGGGTTTAAGGACAGCCGTCAGAAGGTAAAGGCACTTAAGATGGCCAAGCGGTCGTGCAAGAAGAGGAACAAGGACGCGCGTAAGGGGGAGGCCGACAGAGTTATTCCTTCTCGAAAGCCCAAGCACTTGTTCGCTGGAAAGCGCTCGATCGGGAAGACGCAGAGACGTTAGTATTTGCATTGATAATCTTTTTTTTTTGGCTTTCTTCGTCATTGCCTATATTGCTATGATCGTAATAAAGGTAACTGAATTTGCACTAGACTAGGAGATATGAATCAAGTACGGGCTTTCAAGAATGGGATTTTGAACTTGTCGTTATTGTTTTTTTCACTTATTAGTTATTGAGTAACTAGTGCGTATCCCGTGAGATGCACGGATAACCAATATGACTTTCATAGCATGTAAAATTGTCTTATCACACGTGCATGATAAATCTACATATCTTAAGTTCATACTTTGTATTTTCTAATGGAATAACATCTTTCATTTTAGGGATCATATGTATTTAATATGTCCATATCTACATATCGACAATTTAAATTTTGAGTTTGAAGATAATCTGAATCTATGATTGCAAAATATAGTTTAATAATTAAATCAACCGTAACTTTAGAATTTAGTATTTTGAAATTTAGAAAAAAATAAAGTCATTAATTTATGGGAGATATGTGATAAATCTATCTAAATCTTGTATACATCACGTCTTACAACTAAAACAATGTAAACGTGAAGATTAAGATATTTTGAATCTCTAATTTAAACGAAGACCGTAAAAATTTGATTTAGTATTTTGATATAAAAAAGAATCGATAAATTTATCTAAATATTGGATACATCACGTTTTACAATTAAAGCAATTTAAATATGGAGATTATTATTACTTCGAATATCTGATTTAAACAATTACCATAAAATTTTGTATTGTTTCAAAATTAGAGACGTGTATTATTTTTCATTATAAATAATTGTCAAAAAAAATAATTAAATCAGCCGCAACTTTATTTTTTTAATTGAAACTGCTCAATTTGATTGTTAGAAAAATGTTTTCAAAAGAAATAAACAAATGATTTTTTTAAAATATTTTTACCCTTAAATCAGTCGTAATTTGTTTTGTTAAATAAAACCTGCTAATCAAAACATATGTATTAGGCTATTAGCCGATTATATAGAAAAAAAAGTTACCGATATTTTTAAAATACAAAAGTATATTTTTATGGTTAGAAAAAATAGCACGTAACTTTTTTATTATTAAATCAGTTGTAACCTTTTTATTATAAAAAAGATGCCAAACAAAATAATTGTATTAGGCGAATATCAGGTTTTAAATTTGGAGAATATAATTGCTCGATGTTTAATTGAATTAGCAGTCGTGACGTATATTTATATTCAAATTTAAAAATAGCTTTTTGTAACCAATAACCAATTTTAATTGATGCAATCCGTGCATTATCAGCTTTTGATATGCACATCGTGTCAAACCATCACAAATATTCAATAGACTAAATTTAAATAACAACCTAACTTTTTTGAAAATAAAAAGTAACAAACTCCTCATTTTAATGACAACATTTAAAAAAATATTAAAAAGATACTATAAAAAGTATGTAATTAATGCTGACCAGTTTTGATCAATAATTGACTTACTATTCTTGATAAATGGTAATTCTTTTTATATATATAGATGCTATAGGTACATAATGTTGTACATAGAGGTGTACATAACACTCACATTGAGTGGGACCCACAAAAAATAAGGACCTCACTCCATGTGAGTGTTATGTACATCTTTATGTACAATAGTAGTCATCCTGTGCACATGCAAAAAAAAAAAAAAATTATACTCCCTCTTATTTTTTTTTTCAATGTCATTCTAGCTTTATCAACTATTAATTAAATAAATGTCGTTTTGGATATTTTGTACATATTTTTCTATTATTACCCTCATTTAGCTAATAAATACATTACGTCTTTTCATATTTACTCTTCACTTTTTATAAAAACATTCATCTCTATCTTCATTAAATAAGGTTATTTTCGAGAAAAAAAATATTCTTAATTAATGTGCAACTTCTCAAAACGACATATATTAAAAATAGGAGGTAGTATATTATATGTATGCATACAATATATAAAATTTTATATTAGATAATGGATATATTACATTTTAAATTTTGAAATTTTGACTATATGCAAATGTGTAATGTAAATATAAATTATTTAACTTACGTACGAATATTTATGTTGATGCCATAAATTTTAATGGGCAATATAATTTAGTAATCTAGAGGGACCATACATTTAATTAGTTAGAAAAGTATTACAAATATTTTTATCATTGTTATAGCAATTGTCTAAATGATTTTAAGGTGTTTAACTATGACACTCATGCCAATTAATTAATATTAGATAAAAGACAATAATTATTTATTTTAGAAAAAAATATTTTAAAAAAAATTGCAATACAATTTTTTTAAGTATGTAACTTCCACATCTATTTAATGTAAAATTATAATCAGTTAGTGTTAGTAGTAATATTATATAATAAATTATTTTAGAATTGTTATTACACTTTATTAATGTAAAAATATAACGTTTCTACCTTATTTGAAAAAATGAGCAGGAAAATTATAAAGGTTTTATTAAATGTTTTATTTAATGCATCTGCCAGCAATTATATATATATATGTATATATATATATATATATATATATATATATATATACTAGTATTGACCCGTGCGATGCACGAGAGGGTATATTTATTTTTTTTTTAATATAAACATTAAATTTAATAGACTTTGTAGATATGTAACACATATATGATGAAAGCAAACAAACTTAAAACTTCATAAATTAGTAAACACTTCTTTGTACACAACGTTTTGGGTCTGATTTGGAGGCAAGTCATCGTCATTACAGACTAATATCTTCAATCCAATTCGATTGGTGACACGGGAGGCGGCAACATATAATTGCCCATGAATGAACAACGACTTCTTAAGCAATAACCAACATGCAATAGCGATTGTCCCTGGCTCTTGTTGATAGTCATGGCATAAGATACCATAATGGGAAATTGTCGCCTCTGGAATTTGAAAGGAATTCTGACTTCGGAAGGAGTTATAGCCATTCTAGGAATCAACACCTTGTTGCCTTCATGATCCCTGGTGAGTATCCTACACTCAAGAACATGAGCGGATAGTTTTGTCACAACCAATCGTGTCCTGTTACATAAACTCATAGAATGATCCATATTCCGCAACAACATGATGGGGGTTCCAATCTTCAAATGCAACTGATGATTTGGAATTCCCGAACATTTGATACTATTCAAGAACTCGGGCGTATGGATATCATAAAGAAAATCATTATTCGAGTCGGACTTGCAAGTGCTGTCAGAGCTCAAATACGTATTACCGTCTGATAAGTTCAACGATGTCATGTATTCATTGACGGACTCAACAACTTCAAGAGTCGGTGCTAATATTGCACTGTCCTTCAAATAACTGGGATCATCGGTTGTTTGCTTAAACATTGGATACGTGCTTTCTACAATTTGAGCAATCGGATCATCGGATGGTTGAAGCAATATATCCTCAGGTATGTAAATAATAAACAACCATCGTTTGACCCTCCTATAGTTCCATCACCAATGCTCCAATCCATTCAGCGAACCGAGAAACCTCTTCACGTTGCTCGGAATCTCTAAGACTCTAAAGACGCATGTTCTTTGTAAGCCTGAGCACACTACAACTCCTCCAGATGTCAGAAGCATTAATCGCAGCATTCACAATATCTTGACGACTACCCTTTGGAAGCAAAAAGGCCTGTGACATTCAGATATGAACTCAATTGATACTCACCTGTTGCAAAACAATATATATTAAATTGCAATTTAAACTATATAGAATATCATTATATCTTTTGTATTATAATTTAAATAAATAACAAATTTGAAATACCTGCAATCTTTTGTCTTATCCTACATAATTGCATGATAAGAACCCATGGTTCTCCGTTGTCCGCAGATTGGAAGTGATTTTCACAAAAAATAATCGTGAACATATTCACCCCAAAGTTCGCAACGCATCACTAATCCACTATTCAGTTAAAAAAAGAAATTTAATATTAAATTTTACACAAATTTTACAAATATATAATTCATGTACTATATATATTACTTACTCCAAATCCATCATTGAAAAAGTGATCCCTTGCTTTTCTTCTCCATTTATCCAATCTAAATGAATGGGTCGAACCTCGATGACCATACCAATAGCATCTACAATAGATATTAGTAGAAAAATTAAATACTATTTTATTAATTAATATATCAACAATAAAAAATTAAAATTGAAAAAAAATCGAATCCACCCTAAATAATAAATAAAAGATTTACCATAAAGGATTGACTCGTCCACAATGTCATCATTTTGAAGAAATGCAAAACTACGGAAGTCGAATTCCCATGTAGGGAAATTAGATAACACGTGAAGGACCTCAGTATCCCCATTAATTATAACTTTGTAGTCTGCATTAGTAGATCGAAATTTACCAACGTTGAACTCTAGTTGGTAGTTGCTAAATATATAGACCCCACCCTCCTCAAGCAACCCATCAAATATGGGCGGATCACGAACTATACCAGTTATTCGTGATCCCTACAAAACAAATCCTCCCTATATATAATTCCCAAATGCGCTGAGCCTACGTGGCTGTTTCTGGTGTTTCGGAATCCTACTTGGCGAAGAATCATTCTTCGTAATTAGGTTTTGACAAATAATATTGATATATTAATAATTAATAATCTAGGTTTGGACATTCCATAAATATTATTTAGCTAACTTAGGTATTTTAATATCACTTGTACTAATATAACCCTTTAATTCCTTGTAATTTTACATAGTGAGACACTAAGTGACTAATATATCCCTGACTTTTAATTTGTTTCCTTCAATTAGCTATTGAATTGCAAATGTATTTTATAAGATGATAACTTTTGTATTTTTTATCGGTTTTACATATATAATATATCAAATTAATCATCTTTTGATTATCTTCGATTTGACATCCATATTGTATATATTGAAATAAATAAATTATATTTATATTTATAATAATAAAAATAATTATATTTATTAAAATTCACTAGAAAAATACAATTATTTCTCA